CTCTCACCGTGTGATTGCCAACGTAAAAATCCGAGCTATAATAAAATTTAATTTATATAAATACATGCAAAATGTCAAAAAAAAAAAAAAAACTTTACAGAACGTGAAAAAAATGAACTTTTATCCATAATAAACGCGTTTTAGCAACTCAGATCATGTTAAACAACGATTGACAAGAGATTTATCGTAAATTAAAATTGATTGCGCTTTCGGAAACTGGGTGTATGTCTTATACAATACAGTGGTTTGTACTATGGGACAATATTTATTCGTGTCAATGAGTACACAATGGTCTGTTTGCATACGCTGGTAATTGTAGCCCTGACAACATCGAGACTTATTTACGATAGCGTGTTTCGGACCTTTGACGGCGTCTGTTTGTGCCTTGTTCCAAACACGGCGCGCGTTAATTGATTTGTCGTGCATCGCCCCCGCAATGTCGGTACAATCCGGCGCTTCAGTGTTCTTCAAATCATAATATATTACCTCCTTTATAGTAGTTTCCTGGTAAAAAAAAAATACTTAATATGCATTTGATTTATCTAGTTTTTCTTTTTTAAAAGCATCCAGCCAGTGCTTAAATGGTATCTTGGTGGTATGTGGGAACGCAACCGTAGTATAATTCTAAAACACTAGCTCAGTAGCCTATTCCCTATTTATTTGATGAATAGGACGTTAATTTTAACTAAATTTACTGAAAAAAAGTCGTTGTTTCTAACTAAATCCATTTTAATAGTATGACAAGATTTTATCTTTATCGGTGTCCTTAGGTATTGTATATTGATAAGCATTAGACTGTAATAAAATGACTGTCCGAAATGTACTATAGAAATTATATCACACCAAAAGATTTCTACATTCTTAAATAATTGGTATGTTTTCGAATGTCAAGAAAATAAAATGCCCATTGGTTTTCTCACTGCATCTAACCAGGACAGATCCTCATTGTCTGATGCCGAATATCAGGCATGTATCTCAGATAGGAAAAATTTGCATGAATAGATCCAAATAGAGGATAGCTGCCGAGATTGCCCCCACAACTTCAGATGACCCCCACCGATTAAACTACACAATAGAATAAATTTTGGCATTATTCGATTTTATTTATTTAAAATTTGACTACGTAAAAATATTATCTTACTGTAGTGTTGTTAAGCGAATAGATAAGAGTATATACTTTGTATATACTAAACATAGGCCACACACTGCCACGAAGATCGACCCTGACATCCTGCATCCATTGATTTCCTCCACACTTCACATAAATAATCGGTTAAAGTAAATCATATGCTATATCAAGTATTGTGGGTCGTTTAATATTCCGTCAAAGAAACGCCATTATATTTTGAATAAATATTCAAACTATATTCAATCAAGACATTTGGATATTTATGTCAAGACCATTATTCCCACAAAAACCGAAATAAGGAAAAGTATGTACACTTAAGCAATTTTATCTGGTGAATGAGATACTCTTACGCCGCTCTAAGGTTTGCATTAAACCAGAATCTCCTCTGGCGTTGCGCTGTCGATTAGTTGAATCGCTTGCTCGTACGCCAACTTCTTCTATAAAATATCATTGACCAAAGGCATTGGACAAACAATAATGTCGGTCGGATAAAAGCGGTCGGATGGCGTATAGCGGTGCGTCCTTAAATCGCGGGACTTCCGCTTGATGTTATCATCGGACGACAAAACATCCGCGTATCGTTGCAATTATTTGTATGTATCGTTTTATTTTACAGCGCATTGTTTGTCGCATGAGAACGAATGAATGGAGAACGATGTGAAAGCGCCTCCATTCTTAGCAATGGAATTATTTTTGTGTTTGCTATGGATAAATTAAACAAACGGTGCGTAATAACGTTTGTGGTACTCTTCAAATTACTATAACTGCGGTAGGCGGCATTGTTGCGAGAGTTTATAGTTTATTGTTAATTCAACAATATTTCTTTTAATGACTTCGTATTTTCTTTAAAAATGGCCTACAGTATACCTCGTCACGTAAAACCGGTGGCATTGTATTTGGTCTGCTTAAGGAGTGAATAAAGCGCTTTTAAAATATAAAACTTATTTTACCAGGTGTGATTTTGTAGGGTCTGCATATATTTAACATGCCTCTAATTTTAAATGGACAAAAATATTTTTAATTTATACAAATATTAAAACGCCAATAGAATTTATAACGACAATGATTTGAAGGCCCAACCATGAAATAATACTTCGATATCGACAACACTGGTATTTAAACGATCAAATTAAACAAAGAACGGGAGCGGGCGACGATACAAAAACATTGACTCACTGGGTATTAGTAATTTTTAGATTTTAGTTTTACAACACCGCTGTCGATTCACGGGCGGCTAATTTTAACTCGCGTCGCGGTAGTTATTTTTAGTCCGGGAGGCAAGTTTTTATTAATGAAAAGAAGATTTGTTTTAGGCCCTATCCATTAGTTGCAAAGGCGACTAAATGTGACTCCCGGGTTCACGGACGATCAAGGCTCTGATTGCTTGACTTGATTCGATTGACCCGCGAAGGACGGCAACCCCGAAGAACTGTACCGGGTGTTGCCGCAGACGATATCATCTACATGATATGTTTTTAAGATCTTGATTTATTATGCGTTTACGTTCATTACTTAGTAATAAGTCTCCCGCGTTGAGTCGATTGACTTAATAAAGACACGTTAAGGATGGGATTTTTAAACGTTATATAGCAACGGCGACTGCCACTGTAAATCTTACCTGTCCATATAGGTAATTTATATCGACAAGTACCTATTCTTTTATCTTCGATAGTGTAAATTATGCGATCCTACAATACTTTTACTCCCCCGTTGCATGATAATGCTGAATAATGATCTGCAATTACATAGGTGTGTATGGTTTATAAAGGGGATTTTTAAATTAAATAAGTAATAAACTAAGTATCTAATTTTTAAAATAAATTAACAGCAACAAAATCAATGCTAAGAAGAATCCATCATGCGAAGGTTGAATACGGAAGACTATCACCTTATTGTGTATTGTATAATCAAAATATATCGTTTGTTTATTTGCAACTGATACATCCTGTTGTTTGTAGCTCTTTGATGTCACTTAGCACGTATAGATTGCAGTTGTTGGAAGATTTTAAATATGTGAAGTAAGTTTAAAATGAGTGAAAACAAAATTCAATGAATTTCAGTAGATTAGTCTTTACGTATGAAATAGGCGTTTTGTCGATCTGGCCCCTTTAATCTCAAATAGTTGGCATTGAGCTAGGAATTCGAAATTAAATTTTATTTCAAACTTAGGCTTAAAACTTTCAAACTTAAAGATTTTTTATTACTATGATCGAATATAAGACAACCACATGGTATCAAAATTTTAATATCACCAACGCGTGAGATTAGCATGTCGGTGACGTGAACCCATGAATTTTTCTCCATCGAAAATTGCCCAGCCTAAGAAGTTTTCAAAACAAAAAACAATTGTTTTAACACAATAGAAGTTACGTAATGAAGGTCGTTTTATAGTGTACGACATTAATTAATTTCCTAAAAATAGCTTGTAAAGCGGCGAACTCGAGATAAACATTCCGATAAAGATAAAACAGGCTTTACGATCAAGTATAAACAATAATATTTGGAACTCACGCAAGTGTTTAGAAAGTTAATAGCAGTTATTTTTACATTTTCGTGTTTCCAGATAACACTTACCTATTCGTCATTTGAAAATAAAAGTCCTGGCTATACTTTAAATTTCAGGTATGAGTTTTCATTTGATTTGAGTACAGAACAGTTTCTTTTTACGTTGAAATAAAATGGTAAAATTTACTGTTACTCCCGCTCTTCTACGCTCAGTTTCACGAGTAGTTATATTGGATAGAAAAGTTTTGGCTCACGATAAACTTTTTTAGAACTGTTACAACCATTCAAAGAGTTTTACCGAACAACTGAGATGTGTGGATGTTGAAGAAATATATTATTTGAATTAATTTAATGTCTACCAATCTGCAAAATTGACTGCGTACATGTTATAAAAAGAAAGTTTGATCCAACCATAGCATCTAGCAGACTAATTCTTTCTGATTCAATATCGCCATCAATATTTAAACTGTATGATGTGTGTGTTTCGATTTTAACGCCAATAAATGTTTCTTCACAGAAACGTAATGGAATCGTACTTGCGTATATACCCTAACCTCTATACAATCGTCCATCGATTTACGTAGTATGTTATTGATGATCTCACGCTATCATTTTGGTCGATGCTCCGAAATGATATCACGTTCTCAAAAACGTACCTACAAGATTGCAGATACTGAGTAAGCCTTCGGTAATTCGACGTTACGTCTACCATGCAATCTCTAGAAGACTCTCTAGAGAAAGACTGATACAACGTAAGATATACTGAAGCAATCCATTCATACATCGAAACTTAAACAAGATTATAGAATGTTATAATGAAGAGTGACGCAGTTTCTTTTCAATTTGCATCCACCAAATATACGCAACGCTCTATCTTCTATATTATTAATACTTGTGTATTTAATGAGATTATAGCCTGGTTGTTTATAGAGATTATATAGCTTAGTTGTACGGGAAAATACCCCGGCCTGTGCATGGTAGTGTATAAGTTTTTGTATTTTGGCGTTTTGTCGTGAGGCTACAGTACACCATACTCCTGAAGTTTCAACGAGAGTGCAACTTAACGAAGGATGTGGATATCTATTTGCAAACCTCCTTGGGTATCTCAAAGAACAAATCACAAAGCAATATAAATCACAAACTTCTATTTCGATTACGAGATTTCCTTTAACTATCCTTACTCTTAATTAGTATAACTTCCATTGATCACTCTTTACGACGTTCTAATGCCGAAATAAGTCCGTTTTTATTATATCGCAACAATCACCGAACAGAATATCCTGTTGTAAAAATGTTCTGCGATTAATCGTTGCAATGTTGTTTGAGAATATTTTGCAGTGCATTCATATGTCGCAATTTGTTGCAGGTCATGGAAACTAAAAACATGATCTACATAGTATCGGAGTACGCAAGTAAAGGAGAAATATTCGGTGAGTAAACGAATTTCTGTGTTCTCTAATCTGAATTGCACTTTGTATTATATCTGTCCACAATTACAGCACTTTTACTTATCCAAGAAATCAATTAGACTAGTAGGTGTAAATCTAAATTGCGGCGTTTCAGTACGTGCCCGTTAGATTAATGTTTGTCAGATTAGAAGACAGATGTGCCGTAATGAAGTTTTTTTTATTAGGTTTTTATTAGAATTTAATAAGCCATGAATAGCACATAGTGTAATCGATAACATAGCACCATTAAAGAATTTATCTTATACGACATTGATGGCTAACAGAAATTAGTGGTATAGTGTTTTATACCACTAATTTCTGTTAGCCATTCATTGGTTTCTATGAGACATATTATTTAAGCATTTTCGCAGAGGAAACTTTACCAATACGGTCGTCTCTGCAAAATATATTAAATGTACAGAGTTCGCAATATCAATAAAGGGCCGTATCAATAAAAGTGGTTAGTTATACTATATCTACTTGATTGCAGCACATCCTTATTTGGTTCAAATAAAAGTTGTTATGTCAAACAAGTTTATATTACCAATAATACAATTTATATACTCATGATTGTATCTTACCGTCTTCTTAAACTTCTTCACTTTATTCAGAGTATTCAATTAGGTTATTGAACTCTGAGAGTAATTGACATTCATGCCTACTGGGATCCCGTATAAAGTCTTCTTAAAAAGGTCTACTTTATATTCAAAGAAAATTTTATATTCAGATAATTGTTTTGCGTCGCTGTCGCAACGTATAATAGCAGTCGGGGAGTTTTAACTCAATGATTACACCACTTAGAAATCGATGAAGGTCGTTGGTGGGCTCTCAGCCGTTTTGAGTATGACGTAAGCGGGCCCGTGATGACGTCATTGGGCGGGCAAACCGGGGCAGCAGGGGTCCGGGGTAGGGGCTCCGAAAGGGCAATTTCGCGCACAGCTGACTACGTTCCTGAAAACAATCGGTCCCGTAGCAATTCCTTTCTTTGCAGTGAATTTCATTAACATATAACGAGCCACTTTGCACGAAACAACTATTCAATTTCCTGTGACTTCTAATCCTCGCCGATTGGAAGGAGAGACCTTAATTTCAGTTCTATCTTCATAGATGAAACTTGTTTTCACAAAAAAGTCATAGTCATATGATTGATCTTACTTTTTATGTAAAAATGTAGCTTTGTTATATGTGAAGTCCTTTATGGATAGACGAAATTTTCTGCGACCCGAGTGACTATGGCTTTCTGGGGTCTCCTTTTCTCAGGTGCTACAACACCGGACCAGCAAAATGGTGCTGTACAAGTGCTATTGACACATCACCCGTCACTAGCCCTATATACTTACGTATAAAAATCGGAACTGATACCTTAAAATCAAATTTTTAAATTATTTCTAGGTATAGTTTTTCATTGCTGGTAATCCTTAATGAAATTTAAAAAGTACAATTTGCTTTAAACTGTTTGTCTGTATAATGTAGCTTACCTGATAGGCAAAAAAAAAATCTAACAGATACTCCAAAATAAAAAATATGACACTTTTATTGCACTTACATAATAATTTAATGGGCAACACGACGCCGCGCTCTAGTTTCAATTCAGCCGCACTAATGTTTATGGCTGAATTTCATCAGCTAAAATGACGCAGGCTGTTACGTGAGTAAAGATAAAAAAAAGTTAGGTTAACGTAACGTCCGCGCTTTTGTTGGCTCAAAGCGATTTAATATCTCTCAATTATACATGTCGATGACTTTCATGCATGGCTTCACTGCAGTCGAGCTCCTGCTTAATTAGTGTTGGAGTATTTCTCCATCTTAAACTTTAGAGGCTCTCGGGTTAATGTTTATGTAAAGGATAGACAATGACCTTTCCAGGTTAAACAAGGGTCACTGAAAATGATTCTCTCTTGGACGTTTCTATCGCCGTCTGGATGTGTTTTACAGGTCATAACAACTTGGCATTTATTTGGACTTCATTACGCGAACGCTGGAATAAATTTACCATAAAATGTTTTGTTTTGTGATAGCTTTTCGAATAGAGTCTTATAGTCAAATTTAAATGTATTTAAATATTATGTAACCTTACGAACATGATTTTTTTTTGGTATTAAAATAAAGTGCCACATTTGTAAAGCCTTCTAGCGGTTGTGCCTAAGTGCTATGTATAGTGCTATATAAATGTTTCTTTATTATAGTTTTGCAAGTGAATTAAACTACATACATTATCTTTTTATTTATGTATATTATATGTATAATATCAAAAAGTTCATAGGAGCCTTTGCAAACTTCCAGATTTTTAGTCGGGACCTGTGCGAGTTTATTTCGTATTTTTTCAATTGCCAGACTATATCGCGAGGTACGGTCGAATGGCCGAGCAAGCCGCTCGCCGTAAATTCTGGCAGATCCTTTCCGCTGTGGAGTACTGCCACGAGAGGCGGATTGTGCACAGGGATCTCAAGGTAAGGAGACTATCCATTGATTTGTTTTAATTTTATTTTAGTTCCAAGGATAGTTCACACCAAGCAGGCGGATAACAACATAGCTCATTCCACTAACAGTATAATTCACATGTGCCGACCCCACTTAAGTTGGAGAAGTGCAGAAGGATGATTTGCTTTATCCTTCAGTTAAGTCGTAATGTTTCTGTTACAAGTTACACATCGAAACGAAAACAACTTGAAATAATATCAAAAAAGTAAAATAAAAACAAGATAAATATGCGAGGCCAGTACCTTTGGGTAAGGGTTTTTTGCTAGCCAAGATAGATTGAAGTCTTGGATTTTAATTGAATACATAATATACATAATACCTTCAATACAATAAATCCTATGTAATTCCAGCTGCTCAATTTGTATGTGCATTTTGTTTTTTTTTTTTTTGTTCAAATCCTTAAATAAGGGCTTACACGAATCATACCATTTGGACCCAGTTAAGGCTCTCACACACTTTTTTTGAGCTATAAAAGCTATTTTTGAATAAGAGCTATTACCCCAAATTAACAATCCGTATCTTAGTATTGTTGCAACATACCCATGATATGCAATGAGTGCGGTTTGGTTTTTAATCCCAGAAATTTCTTTTGTTCGTTTTCTTGCACTTTGTCATTATTATACCTTATGTACCTTATTTTAATACGGACCTGGCGCTATTTAAAAATGTAACAAACAATTTCAACGGTACCGGCACCGGGTTTCGACATCAGAAACGCTCGAACGTAATTATATGTAGAGCGGACACCTGCATGTTACAATATATTTTATTCATTAACGTGTGATGACTGCGTGACGCCGTTGCTAAGGTATTGACTTCGGCGCCGGAGGTCGTGGGTTCGATCACACAAGACAACTCTTTGTGTGACCAAATAGATATTTGTTTCGGATCCGGGCATTTGCCCACGTGAAATTTATGTATGTTAAACGTCCTTACAACACAGGATAATGTCATCATACAGTAATAAGGGGCAATCTTTAAAAAAAAAACGGCGAACGGCATATCACACACTGTCACTTTTGGGAATAAAATAAGCTTAGAGGAATCTTAATAACATTAATTAGTCAAAGTCAAGACACGGTGCGCGATTTTCGTCTATTCTTTTCCCATTTTCCGTAAATTGGTTTGTTCTACTTACCCATTTAAATATCTATCTACGGTGCGCGATTTTCGTCTATTCTTTTCCCATTTTCCGTAAATTGGTTTGTTCTACTTACCCATTTAAATATCTATCTACACTTAGTAGTGTATTGGATATTTCAATGTAAATGCCTACTATTATTGTTGTCGTTCGATTTTAGTATGCCCTATATCTGTAGTCGCTCCTTTTCTACCCAATTATTGTTAGTTCCAAAACATGACATAGTACAGCTAAGGCTGTACCTTTTTATCGTAACGTTTGATTATATGGCATAATCATTATTTACATTATTAGGGGATAAAAAGAAAGATATTTTAATGAAAAAAAAAAAAAACGTATTTTTCTAAAGGATAAAACGGGACCCTATTACTAAGTCTCCGCTGCCTATCTGTCTGTCAATCTGTCACCAGGCTGTATCTCATGAATCGTGATAGTTAGACAGTTGAAATTTTCACAGATGATACATTTCTGTTGCCGCTATATCAACAAATAATACCAATTTTGGTTGGGCTCCCATACAACAGACACGATTTTTCCGCATCCACAAACCCGCATCACGATCCATTGTGTAGTTTTAGAGATCTAAGCATACATAGGGACAGACAGACAGCGGGACGACTTTGTTTTATACTATGTAGTGATGATACGGAGCCCTTTGGGCGGAAGTCCGACTCGTACGTGGCCGGTTTTGATATTTTGTTCGTCCTGAGATTAAAAGGAATCTAAGTACCTACATAGACTTTAAGTTAAAAATTTATTTCTATTGTCATATACAATTTTAATAAAAACATTGTAGTCCATTAATATAGAGGAAAATGTAATTATACTCCGAATTATTTTCTTTATAACATATTGCAATACAATTTTTTTTGTTCTGAGCTTACAACAGCCACAGAGGAAAATGTTTTAATAGGTGAAATAACAGTCTTCCTGAAAACGTTCGTATTATTTAACACGAAACTGGCAAGTTCCTATCTATCAACCACACGAGTGCAATTGTTTCTATATACAACAATTCACTACAAACAAGACAACTACACACCAAACTAGTTACACTTCGTTTGCAGGCGGAAAATTTACTGCTAGACGCGAACATGAATATCAAGATCGCCGACTTCGGATTCAGCAACTACTATGCAACTGGGGAACTGCTGGCGACATGGTGTGGTTCCCCCCCATACGCTGCGCCGGAGGTATTCGAGGGAAAACGCTACTCCGGCCCCGAAATTGACATATGGGTACGTGTATTTTCATTATAAGAGAGGTTGAAGAAGGAAACGGTTTCACTGTTAAAATCAAGATCATTTATTCATCGATATAAGAAGCATTTTTTTATGTGAAAAGTTGCCAAGCGAGTAGACGGTTCCCCTGATGTTAAGTGAATACCGCCGCCCATAGACGTCTGCTACACTCGAGTGTTCCAGATGCATTGAACACCTTTTGAAAACTGGGCTCCGGCCACCTCACTCACCAGACGAACCGCGAAAGTATTATACTTCTACTTTACGCCGGTTTTATGTGAGGTCGTGGTACTTACCTGGACGAACCTGCCCATTCGTGCAACAGCCGAGTCTGCTGCGTGGCCCTACCACCGCAAGACATACATTTCTTCTATCGATGGCCGTGGTTTTTTTAACACCGTTTCGTAATGAAGTTCCTCTAACGGAGAAGAAACGGGCGAAGGCAACTCCGCCAGGTTTCTTCTTTATGAACCAACGCCACGCCCGAAAACTGCGAAATACCAGAGCTGTTGCAAATTTTTAACGAGACGTAATTTATAGTCATAAAATATAATAAGAAATGTTTGCACCTAATCACTATAAATATTGAAAAAGCTGTAGTACTCCCTCGATATAATCGGCCAATAAATATAACCACAGGAGAAAAAAAAAATGAATTTATTTTTGGAGAAAAAGATTGTGGGAGCGTGGCGAGTCTTTCGATCTTCTGTTCATGAAATATGTTATAATTAAATAAATAAATACTTTCTATAAATAAATAGTACTCTGAGATAAATTTGCAATATAATATATCGCCGTGAACTATTTTTTAACAGCGTTCTTCACTCCTGTCGTGCTTATCGTGTCTTGATTATTTATATTTTATTGGTGGACGTGTAGTAGATTCTGCTGTTGCTGTAATGAGAAAATACACAGTTTTTCAGAACACAATGTTTGCATTCTGCTTTTCTATTGCGACTTAATAGTCTGGGGGCGTTTCACGTGTCTTGCCTATAGTCTTGCCTGGCGTTGGTAATCACTAAATCACATGTACCACAACATTATTTAATTCACGTATCACATCTTATCCAACGTTCCAATAGTTCCGTTGCTATGGCGATTAGTAAGACTCAGTAGCGAGCTAAAATGTCTCTGAAAATTTGCAAGCAAACTTCGCACATTTCGATGTGTTAAGTGAGGTAATGTTTGAATTATAATTTTGACTTTATCTAGTAGGGTGTACGTGTTAAGCGTAAGGCTTTTAATGTACTGTTCTGTATTAGCTGTGACAGGTTATGAAAGTCGTAAATATATTGTAACGTAAGTGAGAAACTTTTAAAATGGTCTAGGGTAATTGCCGGTACTTTCAATTATATAATGGCAATTAATTTTAAGCATTAATTAAGTAAAAGTTGTGACGTCACTGTTGGCGTGGAGATTTGAACGAATCAGTTTTTCTCACAGAGCCTCGGGGTGGTGCTTTACGTGCTGGTCTGCGGCGCATTGCCATTCGATGGCTCCACCCTTCAGTCGCTAAGAGATCGCGTCCTTTCTGGAAGGTTCCGGATACCGTACTTCATGAGCGAAGGTAAGTGTTGCCGTATCTCTAGGAATACTAATAAAATTAGTGAGTCCATTAAGATGATATGTTACGGTCTCGGCGTTCGATTAGGCTTTGCATAGTTTACGAACTGAAACCAAAATGTCAACAAATCTTAATCAATAATATAAAACAATTTTTAAAAATAACAACAATATCTCCATGTGTGTTTTATGTTATCATAAGCGTTAACAGCCTATATACGACTTCCTATCTTATCACATTATTATTATTTTTTTAAATAGTTCTCAAATAATTGTTCCATATCCTTTATCGATTTACGATTTACAATTGAAAATAAACTGCATCCAAAACATCTCATCATTATGAAACGTATAGTGATAATAACTTTAAACGGTTACGCCATTTTAATATGCCAGTTTACTTAAAGTTAAACTCTTACCTTATCACAAAAACGACGTTTTCAAACTAAGAAAAAGGTTTTAAAACTAAAAAAACTACTTTTTCCTTCACGCGTCATACAACTTAAAAATAATAATATGTAGTTTATTGAGTTTTTAGTTTAAGTAACCTTTTGTCCTCAAAGGAAAAAACGTTACGTAAACTAAAAACTCAATAAACTCAAAGGCCAGAAAATGCGGTAAACAAAAAGACCGAGTTAACACGGAGCCCTTTCTGTGGCTTTGGATTATATTCGAAGCTAACTAATTTATCTTATCGCGTTAACAGTTTCCAAAGATTTGAACACGGAATTGACCACGCTGCCAACAACTTCGTCCATTACCCACCCTAATCGAGTATACTGTTGGAGATTGCTCTAGCCAGTTCCATCCCAAGCGAAATGAAATAAATGTTGCGCGCAAATGAACTTGCCCGTATGGACTATAAAATTTGTCCTACCTACTTTATACTACATACATTTCTTTTTAACGATTTGGATGCGTTTAGTAATATAAATTTTTAGTAGTAAAAGTATTTAGACAAGTTAATATGAAGCATTAATAGAAATTGTTGGGTATTATTTCCTTAAGATATGATCGAAAGATGAAGATGACGTAACGTTTTTTTATCATATCGTTTTGGTATTCAAATATCTGTTCAAGCTTATTAAGGTTGACCGATGTTTCTTTCATGCGAAGAAAATTCATTTCTGTAGGATAACCATGTCTCGAAAAACATGAATTTATACGTCGGTTTTACTTCTTGATATGTCTAAAAAATTGGGAGTATGTATTCAATTCTTTTTTAACATGAACTTTGCATGTACATGTTTCTCCAAGGTATTTCAAATTTTTGTAGTCTAATATTATTATAATGTTCACCACTACTAGAATCGGGCGCAGCCTTAGTCAAATTTGAAGAATATATAATATAATATTTAAGAACGCTTTCGAAAAATTGTATATTCTACGATATATGAGTTTTACATGGTTAAATAAACATATATATTAGAAAATAAAGTAAATATAATACTCTGCAGAAATTACGTTTCTAAAACTACTGCACCGAGGACGTAATATTTTCACCAATTTTTGCCCTGCGTGGGTTCGACGTCTGCGTGGGGCAAAAATTTTTATGATCAGTAATTATTATAAGCACGGATGCGCTTTATGCCGTGAATTCATATTTGTTAACGTCCCGCAGGACAGCGATTGAGGAATCGTTAAGACGCCTAGTAAAAATCAAAATAAATATCACTCACCAAAAGATTAGGCACTTTCCACAGAAATCGGAATTCATGGCAACCCTAGCGCTACGTTCCTTCACTTTGGCAGCCTCCGACGATGACGTACCCAGACGCACAACTCACACGTTCGGCACGGACGAGAGCAATTAATGATCGTGCGTTGCGAACTCAATTACAGGAGATCTTCAGGCGTGAGTCAGATGCGCGACCACGTTGATTGCACGAAAATTGATGCGACGGTCTTTGGTTATAGCGTAATAATTACCCCCCTGCGTCTAGTTGCTTTTATTACTTTAACGTAATTCTCCATTCGGGTGTCTAATTTTAAACTATAAACATTCAGAGTGAAATAAAAATAGTTTAAGGTATCATAAAGAACAATGTCTCCGTGAAATACTACGCAGAACTTTATCGCTGTCAAATTAATGTTTTTCGGTGTGTAAATAAATAACGCTGCGAGCGTTAAGGACTTTTATTCCAGCGGCGTCTCGAGGCGTTTGTCGGAATTGGGGTCAAGAGCAATCTATAAAGAGGTCCACTATCCTGCTCCGCTTCAACCTATTTTTTATGAGACCTGCACAAAAGTTGCGTAAGCAGTTGCATTGATATCCTCAAAGAGAGTTGAGCCCAAATCACGTTTTGACGTTACAAAAGTATAAACACTACTACTTTAAGCTGGTCGGCTTTCTGCGAATACCGATATCCGCATTCGCAGAACGCCGATCAGCTTACAACTACCCGGATGAGCTGTATAAAACAGCAGAGGCAGCATTTTTTATATTCTTTTTATATGAGAAATTGGTAAGAGAGCAAGCGGTTCACCTGATTGCAAAGTAAAAATTCCTTTATTCAGTATAGGATTATTTTAAGCCCTTATTGAACGTCAAAAAACTACAGACCGTTACCTAAACCAGACTTGTCCATAGAAAAACCAGTAGAAAATTCAGTGGTGTTGTTGTCAAGATTTGAGGCTTTTACAGCGGACCATAGATACTTATATACGATAGATTTTTATTATTTGATGAATCCATGGCGCAGTTGTTAAGGTATTGGGTTGGATCCCCACATGGGACAACTATTTATATGATCCACAGATAGTTGTTTTGCATCTGGGTGTTTATCCATGTGAAATTTATGTTTGTAAAACACAGGATAATATTAAAAGTAAGGGAAATGTTTATAAAAAAAATACAACTCCTTTGTAGTGGCATCTGCGTTATTAACTGTAGAAGTTGAGACCCAGCTATCACAGACGAAAGGCAAGAGTCAATTCCACTTCACGTCGGTCTTATGTGAGGCCGTGGTACTTCTGGTACGAGCCTGGTCATCCGTGCAACACCAGTAACTGATGCGAGGCCCTTCTTCTTCTACCTGGCATTAATCCCGGCTATTTCCGGTCTGCCTTCCTACTTAAACTCCTCCACTTTGCCCGGTCTTCGACATCCTCAGGGGTGAGTCCATTGGCTCATTGTTCCTACCACAGTTAAATGGATGGAGCGATGAACTCCACATCAAAAATGAGAATTCAAATCACACGTGTATTAGGTTCAACGGAAAAATCTTCTTCCACATGCTGACTGAATTTGATTTTCGATTGGAGTTCCGTTGTCAAAAAAAAGTGGGTCGAAGAAGAGTATCAGCAGTAACTTCGAATTCGTGCTTCGAATAAATCGCGTTAACGAGACCGATCCACTGTAAAAACACTAACCGAATAGGCATCTGCGAAATGAATTCTTTGTAAAAACAGACCGCCCCATTCTTAGCGCATTCCTTTTGGAATTCGAGCACGGCAAACAGCATTTCTTATTGAGTCTTAGCTGGAATTTTTTATCATTTCTTTGGTTTATTTCCAGCATTCTTCGCTTGGACTTGGACAGGTCTTATTACAAACGAAAATGAAAAGATTATTATATGATTTCTTTGTGTAGACAAATGTGCCTTAATCGTTATGTTTTATTGGTTATTTTGAACTATGTCTCTGTAGTGAAGCAGATATGTGTTTTACAATCTGTTAGCGATATAAACTTTTCACAATAAATTAAAACAAAAAAAAATTAATTCATTACAACTCAATAATCGCCATTGACGTATTTATTATCTGTATAGAAGCGAGTCACTATCTAATTTCTTCCTAATTAATGTCATCTGTATATATAAAATTTTTAATGACGACGCAGTGTTAACGAACAATTAATAAATTTGTGTGTAATAATTCGTTATCTAATGACTTTCTCGAGCGCAAACGTGACATTCGTCAGATAGTGTAACCGGTCCTCCCCAGTCAAACTTTAACGAGCGGAGCACATTAACAATTGACAAGTAATTATACTTGGCGTACTACTTTACTGTTTAAATGGAACTAAGTCTGAACTGGGTCGTGAACATTTTATGGATGTAGCTGCGTCAAGATATCATTAATCGCATCCTTATCATTCAGGATTTCCTCGTTTCTGTTTTGTTTTTAAACTACTTTCGCGCCACGAAATAATTCTAATGTCGCGAGAGGTATGAAAAATACACAGGCACAAAGAACACCCAGACTCTGAGTAAATATTTGCGTAGCGCCCAAGTTTTTGTCCTATTTTAGGGATAGAACCCGCGACACAGTGCGCAATTGCATTATTTGATGCGTTATTTGTGCCTATTTATTTCACTCACAATGAGTTAATGAATATTATGCTGTATGACCCTAAAACCCTACGGCGTTGCGCTTGTACAGTCTAATTAAGAAAGCGGAAGCAACTATCCCGTTTTCTGCTATTGGGTCAGATCTACTTGACAGTCTCACACAGTCAAAGTAATCTAAATCCAATTTGGGGACGATTGTGTCCCTCTTTGTAGCGATGACACCGACTAGCACTGTATTTTGAGTTATACTTGGACTAAATAAAACTCCAGTCACAATCTATGTATATATGTATTTGTGTTTCGTTTGTACTTATTCATATTACTTCAAAACAAACAATCTACTGATTGGCCCAGCTGGTGATCCTGTGAAGTTTGGTCACAATTGGATCAACAATGTTTTTTTTTTAATAATTAGTGCTACACTTGCGAAGTATGTGTGGTTCGCTAGTTATTTATATCGTTCCCCTTTCCGTTTAAAGAAATTGTAAACACTCAATGTACTTAATATTACAAGGTAATAGTAACATGATAAGTAATGATCTATCCAAAGTAAAACTTTTTTAATACTGAGCGAAATCGAACCTTTTTCTCATACTTACGAGTCTAAAGGTTATTATTATATTTCGGTACGTAACATTATTTTTCATACAAAATGTATAAAACACTCACGATATTATATTAGTATGTAGTGGACCCGATTGGCCTAGTGGAT